GGGCCATACTCGACCGGCAAGTCAAAAACAACCAAAAAAAACCAACTTCGAAGAGCGATCTTCTCCAAGTTTTGAAGCAAGAGTGGGCGAAAATCCCACAATCTAAAATTGACGAGATAGTTTCTCACGATGCCCCAAAGGATCAACGAACTCCACGAAGCGAAAAAGATCTACTAGATATTAATTAAATTATAAATATATCAGTTCATGTGAATATGACTGAAAAATTTCATTTTTTTCTGAAAAAGTGGTGTCTATTTACTTGTGACCACGCTGTGTATATAATATGGATACACTGATGTTACAAGTAAGTTAAGATGTATATTATATATAACATAAACAGGAGTACTTTTCTATTGTGTATAGTGTGTATACACTGATGTTACAAGTAAGTTAAGATGTATATTATATATAACATAAACAAGAGTACTTTTCTACTGTGTATAGTGTGAATACACTGATGATACAAGTAAGTTAAGATGTATATTATATATAACATAAACAGGAGTACTTTTCTATTGTGTATAGTGTGTATACACTGTAATGTTAAAGAGGCCCAGCAAAAGGCACCAACATCATAACAGTTATATGTAAGATAAACAGGAGTACTTGTCTACTGTGTATAGTGTGGATACACTGATGCTACAAGTAAGTTAAAAGTTATCCTATATATAACATAAACAAGAGTACTTTTCTATTGTGTATAATGTGGTTACACTGAAATGTTAAAGAGGCCCAGCAAAAGGCACCAACATCATAACATTTGTGTCATGCCTTTGAAAAGAATAATGGTACTGACTCTCACGTTTATAATGCACCCTTAACAAAAGTGCAGAAAATGTTTAGCAATGTTATGTCCCGAACCCCGTACTCTTCAATCTATGGCTTTCTAGAGTCTATAACATGATAGAAAAGTTCCTGATGGAAATGTTGACCATCATGGTGGACATACAGGTCATTGCCAACCATCATGGTGGACATACAGGGCATTGTTGACCATCATGGTGGACATACAGGTCATTGCATAGAGCAAGTATCTCATGTTTCTTCTTTATTAAGATTATGTGTTTTCCTGACCTGACCCAAGGTTGGAATGAATTTAGAAATGACAAGATACTCATGAAAGAGAGATAGAATCATGATTATTGTAACTGAAAGACATTTGAAAAATAGAAATATTTCAGTAATTAAAGGCTTGCTATTCAAGTCTCATTACAAATGATTCAAAGAACTTAAAATAAAGTTAACAAACATATACAAACACACACCCTGGGCTGACTTACTCTACATTTTGTCCTACAAATAGAAAATATTATTAATCACTTTTATATCACCATTTCTTACACTGTACTTCTGAAAACTACACAAAGAACATTATGGATATATTATACTAGATTTCACATTGTACTTGTGAAAACGACACAAAGAACATTATGGAATGTGAAATCTATATAATATATAGTTTTCACAAGTACAGTGTGAAATCTAATATAATATATCCATAATGTTCTCTGTGTAGTTTTCACAAGTACTGTGAAATCTAATATAATATATCCATAATGTTCTCTGTGTACTAGATTTCACATTGTACTTGTGAAAACTAAACAGAGAACATTATGGATATATTATACTAGATTTCACATTGTACTTGTGAAAACTACACAGAGAACATTATGGATATATTATATTAGATTTCACACAGTACTTGTGAAAACTAAACAGAGAACATTATGGATATATTATATTAGATTTCACACTGTACTTACATACAAGAGTACAGATAATATAAATATGAAATTTTATATCAGATTTTACATTATGCTTATTACAAATTATGAACATAACAAACACTTACAGATTGTGATAAACGTCATAAAGAATAACTGGATCCCTGTACCAACGACAGCAGCAAAGAGTTTGGGATGTAATGGAGGTCGGAAGACATCTCCATGAACTAACTTCCAACCTGTTTCTTCCATTGTGTCTTCCTATAGAGATAATGTTTTTATTTAACTCTTTGACCCTGGTCTGGTGGGATTCCACCAAGGTAACCACAAATCAGTTATACTTTAACTTTTTAAAATATATGTGTATCTTAATGAAAATTTGCAGGTAATCAGTAAATATTACAAGGCTTTTGTACACTAAACATCAGATTTTTTAACTAATGATTTGCTTATGCATTTTTTTCTTTTCGACTGTTGACTATCCAACATGCAAAGTCATTTTGATTTTACGATTAAAAATACTTTTATGCATCAAATTTTGCATGCAAAATCTCTATAACCTCCAGATAATTATCAAACATTATTTTAGAAAAAAACTTTATATTGTATCTGTTATTTTCTCTGTATGGGTTTTATCAACTTGACCGCCATAACAAATTAGGAAATAGATCCAAATTACACATTTTTCCTTCTAGAAACCGCAAATGTTTATTCTAACATTATACACCTATTTACTATTTTTATTTTATTGACCTTCCAGCCATGTTTGGCTAACATTACAGACGTTTCAATCATGGTACACATGCAGCTATATCTTAGCGTATCCAAAACTGGCTTTTACGAATGTTTTAACTCTGTTTTAGTGGACCAGTATTTTGTAGAATACAATCACATTTCGGTTATAATATATTATATACTTGTTGGAGTACCCATCCCCTGGAAGATAGTTATATAAATTCATGATTAATGAAAGGTTATCTTAGGAGATGAAAAGTTGCTTCCCTTATATGTAATTGTAAAAAAATGCAAAAACACCCATAAAAACTGCAAGCTTGCATGTATCTCTACATGGACCCAATGAATCTCCATACCATGTGAAGATCCATCTATAGGGGGCAAAGCAGTGGTAAAAAATGCAAAAATGGCTATAAAAAAACCAGAAAATGCAAAACTAAAAATTTGAATGTACCCCGCAAGTTGAATTCACTATGAGAATGTGGAGAAATACCTCAACAACCTCCAACTTGGGCATTCACGGACCTGGTTAAGAATGACAATGTAGGGTGAGAAAGGACTCCATTGTGGACTGGGGAGGAATAAAGAATGGGTTGAGTTGAGAAAGAATGATGATTGTCCGCGAATCTCCCCTTGTCTCAGGTACAAACAAACAGAAAAAATTCCAGAAGAATCAGATCAACTGTCACTACCACCTTTGTGATCAGTAACTCTGATAGCCATGAAATGAAAATCCACACACTACTGAGCAGGAGAAGTTGGAAATACCATAGGGTGAGAGGATAATGTAGAATTGAATGGAAAGAACAACAACAAAAAAGGAAACGGTTGATGGCAATTCACAATACAAACACTTCTGGGACACCTGTGAGCACCAATAGAAATAAGCCACATGTAACACCCATAGGATACAGCAGGTAGACAAAGTTCCATCACCAAGGTATCCCCACAGAAGGAAAAGAAACAGTCAATCCTAACCACGGTATAAGTCAGTAGGAGACCACATTCATCTGCAAATTGTTGTGGGGGCCATTGATAGTTTTCCAACAATTTGCGGGTGAAGAAACATCACAAAGCAAGCATAAGGAGCAAACAAATACAAAAAAAAAAAAAAGGTAGATTGATTCAAGTGATCATATGAACCAACCTGGAACTCCACACATCCAAAATTAAATGATTTTTGTCTGTGGAATTGAAAAAAAATATGTACACCTGGAGGTGGAAAACCAAAGCATACCAACAGACAAATGAGGGTACATGTCCCGCCATGTAATAAAGCAACAAATCAGGTGAAGAAGGAAAAACTAACTAGTCCCCCAATCATTCCACCATCAAGGGAGGAACAGACTCAAAGGTTACAGAGAAAAGCCCCAAAGTCTCATAAACCCAAATGACTAATTGAAAAACTAGAGGTGGGTGATCCAAACTGGACTTGTGAGAAGCTGACTTAGGAAAGAAAAGCATCAGAAAAACGAAGTCTAAATTCTCCCCAGAAAAACCAGGATCAACACAAAGACAACTTTAGATGCTCCACAAGTGAGGTGCTTATAGACAGCATCAGGATAGAGGTGAGGTGCTTATAGACAGTGTTAGGGTAGAGGTGAGGTGCTTATAGACAGTGTCAGGATAGAGGTGAGATGCTTATAGACAGTGTCAGGATAGAGGTGAGGTGCTTATAGACAGTGTCAGGATAGAAGTGAGGTGCTTATAGACAGTGTCAGGACAGAGGTGAGGTGCTTATCGACAGTGTCATGACAGAGGTGAGGTGCTTATAGACAGTGTCAGGATAGAGGTGAGGTGCTTAGTAGACAGTGTCAGGATAGAGGTGAGGTGCTTATAGACAGCGTCAGGATAGAGGTGAGGTGCTTATAGACAGCGTCAGGATAGAGGGAGTGACTTATAG